AGGTCGCGTCAGCTAACCTTTTCAACTGACCAATCAGAACACAGCTTACCAAATCATGAAAGTGGACATTCGCACATACTTTTTGAACTTTTACCTCGAAAAGGTTTGTACCCGAATGATTCCAAATGCTATTTTCCGAACGATCGCTTCCGAGTGATGAACATGGTAATGGTATCGGGATGTAGCGCATCAACCCCCTATTGTAGTAAGCTTCAAACCTTTGTCCAAACTTCTCAGTGTCAGGCTTGCAATTCAGCACAATGTGGTCACTGCTATACTGACACTCTGCACAAGTACCATCAGGAGGCAGTGGGCTGTTCCAAGGGCATGTGGCCCTATCAGAGAGTAGGTTATCAACAGTCAGTTGTGACATATCCCCAGGAGATGATTCATACAGCTGAACCCTTTGGTGGTGGCTCAGTGCTGGTGTGGGATTGCGATTCATATGACTGGACGTTGGATCTCATGACAGTACCAGCGACATATAATGGTCAACATTATCAAATGAGCCACATTTTGAAAACCATTCCCTTGCCAATTGTCTGATATCCATGGATGACAATGCTAGTTCATCAACTTCCTCTAGCTGTCATCATCTATTTGCAGTACAATGCCACTGAAACATTACCTTGGTCCACAAGGAACCCCGATATGAACAGCATAGAACGTCTTTAGGACTATTGTAGATTCCAAATTCAACTCCTATTCAATGTGGACAAGTGAGTAAGTATGATTTTATGCCGCTTTTAGCAATATGCAGGCACTACATGAGGCACTACATGAGGAATAGCAGAGGATTCTGATGCTGAGAGAGAATTTGATTTCCAGTATGATGAGGACATTGGCAAATGTTATCCATGTGAGGGGTGGCTACACCAGTTGTGGTTCATACAATGGGGAACATTCCTGGAGTTGCGCCCCCTTGCCCGCTTGGAGCGCTCTGCGGTGGTTACGGTCCAACAGTAGCTGTCACTCTGATACTGGCCTGCCTATCGGCCAAGCCTAAACTTAAATCGACATTAAACCTACTTTTAACTATGTGGTTCTTATATTACGAATTACGGAATCTGGAAGTTGTCCCGACTGACACTGTTGTCAAAGCACGAAGAACTAGCGTGTCTGGAAGAAAAATAATGCTAATAGAACGGTACTGGAGATATTGTAATATTGCCGTTTCTCGGAATTTCTTATTGAGTAGTTGCTTTGTAAATTCGTCAAACCATTTACTCCCCATTATGTCACATTACACAGAGCATTAATGCGGTCGTAATAGGTGTTAGAACATAGGATTAGTGTACACTGAAATTAGCGTTACACAAATAACGTTAGCGCTGACCTGATTACGCGCACAACATAAGTGCTTCAGTTTTCGTCCACGTAAACAACCTATTCTCATAGCCTATAACGCTTTGGGATGCACTGGAAAGAGGAAATGCTATGGCAACGGATCGTTTTCGAAAGGATTTGAAACATAAATCATTTTCATCGAATTAACGACTCGCTGACAGTGTGTTCAACAAAATATATTACACCCATTCACACGATAAATAAGCTCACAACTTCCGGTTTATAGTTTCTACATACATATTTAAGGACCGTTCATAATTAATGGGGTGGGTGTTGGTGATGATTTTTATGGAAAAGCATGTACAATGAAAATGACCTCCCTAAAATTCATGTACAAAGTAAGTGACACCCTCTTGCATATGTCATATTTAAAATCAATTAAACCCACCCCCCACCCCATAATTTTAGCATAATCGTTTTATGTAAAAAATTGCTTACCCCCCTAGTACATGTGTACAAAATTGATGACCTCTACCTTTCCAGAACAAAATAGGTGATCCCCCTTAAATTCATCATCACTTCACATCCCAAAAATATATTTAGGCCATTATTCAATCCCCAAAATGTACAATATATTGGCATATTGCTTGCACAATATATTTCTAAGTATCATTTGGGACCCCACCCCAATCTGTACCATTTTTAAAGGCTGTCTCTTCTCAACACAAATAACCAGTATCTAAATTATAGATCACATTTTGAAAATACAAGAATATCATTTGAAATTGTGTTTCAGGTGTTGTCAAATAATGTTACTAAGCATGAGTGAATTACTGAAATATTATAAACACATTGAACCATTACTGGAGGTCTGAACTATCTGATGTCAGAAGCAAGGGGGTATCGGGTACATTGTCTTTTAAGGTGGGAGCCTTTTAAATTTGAATAAAAATATTTCACATTTGTTATTCCAGCATGTGTGAAGGGTTTGCAACTTACATCAAGGCTCATCACAATTATAATGGACTCACAGTGTCAGTGAACACAGTGTGTATTTGAAATACTGAAACAAGGAATAATGTAGCTTTTGAATGGTAGTCTAAATGGTACAATTGAGATTCTACAATACTTATTATTCTCATGTGTCAATTATCATCAGACAAAAATCAACAAAGTCTGGGTTGTAATTTCAGTTTTTATTGTTCAACATATAATATTCTGCATGTATGGACAATCATACTGTCAATATTGCTGTACAGATAATTTAGGTGACATGCATATGCACCAAAAATGGAAGTACAACAGTGAAGTCTGAATATTTTGACAGTCCTGTGTAAATGAAAATTGCTGCAGCACTAAGCATAATAGTTAGTACTGGAAGCACTGCATGTTTGTCTCTGTGTTGATATACAGTTACTTTCATATTTGGCCTGTGCCCAGTCTAGAGAGAAAATGTTTGGCTCAATAGTCTTGCCATCAAAATCATCATGGGTGATTATTTCCTCCCCAGCGACCTCACTGATGTTACATTCAACATCACAAGTATCCAACAGCATTAAGTGGGTCAGCTGATACAGTCCAGGGAAAGAATTGGTCATACAACATCTGTTTCTCTCAGAGGTGTTCATCCTGGAAAACATCAGTGGAGTATTACTATCCAAACTGATACAGGGTAATATTATCTCATGACTGCCAGTTATGAGAAAATGTATCATTATCAGATTTAAGTTACTATTGTAGAGAAAGACATGTCACATAATGAACATATTCATTCCGATAGGTCAAAGGTGGAAAACAATATTCTTAACAAATGTTTCAACTATGGAAGGCATAATTTAAATATGCTGACATTTTTTCCTTCTCTGAGTGGCATTTAGAAGTTGGTGTGATGAACAACAAGGAGAGTTCTATGGATATACAACTTCTTTAATATAATATGAGCGACATTGTGGTGTAGCTATTAACACCGTTATCAAGCAAGTACCTCTCCTCGTTAATTTCTTTTCTGATACAAAGAAGTGTGTTCAACAAGTACACCAGACATTATTCAGACAAATTCATACCAAAAGTAAACAAACACTAACCTGTAGCATGTGTATTCTGGAATCACCTGGGCCTCATCTTTGTGGACAACAGGCACCTGTAGGGAAATGTAATACGATGCATTAAAGGGAAAAAGTCAATTGTGTATTAGCATTCTTGGTAAACTTTAATTCAACAATGAAGGGAGCAAAGGTGTTATTGTCAAACATAAACAACTTTGCAAACATGTATATAATGATGCTAACTTGCTTTTTAAAAGCAAGAAGCAAATGAAAGTTAACCCATCTTAAAACATTGAAAGTAATAAATTGGGGTCTGTTCAAATTTACTTGCCTACTCTACCTACCAGTCATCAGGAGATATAAGCATATGTGAAAATATCACATACATTAGAATTTTAAGTAAATTACTCAATGTAACTCAGTGTCAAACTGACAACTGTATTTAAGATGCATGACCAGGTGTTGTATGAGAGAAGACAAGCAGGTAAAATCAACAGGCCATATCAAGTGATGAATGCTTTGCTAAGATATAATTGAAATATAACTTCTTTGAGTGGCATTTTAGAAGTTCTAATTGAAATATAGTTGAAAATAGATTCAATAGATTAACCTGAAATTAGAATGCAACAGCTGTGTTCAAGTACGTCGGAAAATTTTGAAACAATCTTAACAATGAATGAATTTTGAAACAATCTTAACAATGAATACAGCCTAACTACTACAGAAACTGTTTTATCATGTTTATAGCTAATCTTCACAAGGGTGCCTATTTCAGACGATAACATCAGTGGTGCCTTGGGCTGCACCCTTTGTAAAGCGAAAAGATTGTGTACTGTACGTTTTGATGATTACTACAGTGAGAGGCCCCTAATGTTTCGCGTGAAAAGTTTTGTATAGCATGTGTACAGCAACACATTCTCTTTCCCTGAATCAATTCAAAACCCCTGCTCGTAATTTCGGTTGGCATGCACGTTAACTAAATTTGGCAAGGAGAATAACAATAACAACATTTTCTTCAAACTGTAAAAAGATGCAAAATACGTGGTACTTACCATAATTAGTTACAGTATTGTAACGAAATCGCTCTGTAAGAAGTGGAAATGGCACACAACACTGAGAGTGAGACCAGCGAGAGCTGACGGCTACCTCGTCATGCTTTGTTTCATTCGTCGCTACTTCGAATGATAGTCAACCACCACTTCAGCAAGTTTTGACCTCTCGGACACGATGAACCTCTATTGCAGCATCCCGAGGCACGGCAGCACGTTTCAAGCATCGTAATATTGCTGCGCATTTGAAATCGACCGTGCAACAAACTTTGAACGACATCATTATGCCGGAAGTATACTTAGGACCGTAGTGATTGGCGCCATCTATTGGCGAAGCTGTAAAGGGAGATAAGTGAGGAATGTTCCCCATTACAACATTAATTTTTTTAGAACTGTGTGACAATAGGGTTAGTAGTATAATCGTGGTATTCCTTTCAGATTGCAAATAAATTGTTACAAATTACTACCAAATTTCAGTTTCGGTTTTGATTTTGGTTTAATCAGCATAATCATACTGTTTTCATACACAAATGTGCCTGGTGCTTGATTAATGCTCATGTGTATACTTGTTTACACTCTATGCATGTTCAACAATTTTCTTCATTACAAAAGAACTTACTTGCCAGAGTCTTTGATCTTGTTGCCAACATCTCTTAAAAGAATTTCATCAAGCTCTCGAACCATCACCTTCACTCCGGGAAGATCAGCGTGTCCTCCAGTCACACCTGTAGTGAATACATCACCAGATGATGTCACATTCACATCTTTGAGGCCCTCATTATGTGCACACCTGCTACACCCTCATTACTTTCATATTTGTCATTCATCATTATCTTCACATCTGTCATTCATCATTATCTTCACATCTGTCATTCTTCATTATTTTCACATCTGTCATTTTTCATTATCTTCACATCTGTCATTCTTCATTATCTTCACATTATCTTCACATCTGTCATTCATCATTATCTTCACGTCTGCCATTCATCATTATCTTCAGATGTTACACCCTCATTATCTTCATATCTGTCATTCTTCATTATCTCTACATATTACACCCTCATTATCTTCATATCTGTCATTCTTCATTATCTCTACATATTACACCCTCATTATCTTCATATCTGTCATTCTTCATTATCTCTACATATTACACCCTCATTATCTTCATATCTGTCATTCTTCATTATCTCTACATATTACACCCTCATTATCTTCATGTCCGTCATTCTTCATTATCTCCACATATTACACCCTCATTATCTTCATATCTGTCATTCTTCATTATCTCTACATATTACACCCTCATTATCTTCATATCTGTCATTCTTCATTATCTCCACATATTACACCCTCATTATCTTCATATCTGTCATTCTTCATTATCTCTACATATTACACCCTCATTATCTTCATATCTGTCATTCTTCATTATCTCCACATATTACACCCTCATTATCTTCATATCTGTCATTCTTCATTATCTCTACATATTACACCCTCATTATCTTCATGTCCGGTGAAACATCATCATTGGTGAAACATCATTATCTCAATGTTACTTTCTCATCTGTCAAACATTATCTCCTGGAGATACCTTAAGAAATGTAATGTCTAACAAAAGAATGTTTCAAGAAAAGTTTGAGGTACCATGCAGAGTCATTTGCTGTTCCCGAAGTTTCATATTTCATTTTATTACCACGAGGGCGAAAATATCGGGGTTAATATGCCCTAGGGCAAAATATCACTTTGCCATGGTGACGTGACATCATGAACAATGCTATGACGACACGGTTCAAATTCTTCTATAAAGTTGCGTTCTACATGCGGCGTCAGCGGGTAGCCAGCCTATTTTTGAAAGTAGATTTGCATTTATTTTTCTCAATTTGACGACTTCGGTAATAAACAGAATATTATATTCGTGCCCATATCATACTATGTTTACGACACTCATGCCTAAATATCGGTATATACCAACATTTATGCACTCGTGTCGTAAACATGGTATGACATGGGCACTCATATAGTATCGTCTATTTATCTCATAGAGATACCTTAAGAAATTTAAAGTCAGACAAAAGAATGTTTTAAAAAAAGTTTGCAGTACCTGGCAGCGTCATTTGCTGTTCCCGAAGTTTCATTTTTGCAAAGGCAAGTTTGTCCTGAGCTTTCTCAAAATCAATCTTTATGACTTCCAGCTCCAACTCAGCATCATGGACTGTCTGAAGTTAACAGGAGAAGCTGACATATGCAGTTTATCATTTGAAGTCAAATTCATTTACAACAGAAAAACATTCATATGTATTGTGGTGTAAATGTTGACACTGAAACATCATACAATTTGGTAATTCAACTGGTCAGTGTTTTGTCACAACAAAATCAATGACAAAACCTTGTTACAGGAGACAGAATGACATGCCCTTAGAGAGGGATGGTGTAATAACACAATTAACAACGTTTCTATTGGGTGTGACCATCATTTCTGTTGAGGCAGCCAAGACATAGGTGGCCCATTGAAGACAGAAGATGATTGAAAATGAACTGACAGATAAAGGATAATTCATTCCCCCTGGAATTGTTTCCAGTTTGGATAAAATATATACTAGGTGTATGATTCCCCTGGCAGTTCAATCAAGGTGTGGAATAGATAATTTAGATTACATTTTCTGGAAGGAAGCAATAACATAGGTACTAGTATATTATTCCGACGGAAGAATTTTCCAGGGGGAAAGAATCCTGTTACATCTATTCTCTATCAGTGAGAGCTGGCCATGGGAATATAGCAATGTTAATTTGCCTTACAACACATGCATCATATGGGAGGACATTATTCTGATGCTAAGTGATGTTACATCCCTGGATTTGCATGAAAGGGCAGAACATGATCTTGTATTGTTTCCTGGTATCGCATGCCATTCAAGTAGCCATTCACAGAGATGAGATATGTTCTCTCATTAGTTTGTGATGCCTACCCAAACCATTACACTCACACACTTGAACTGATAAAACAGAGAAATGCCAGCATTAGTTTAACGTTCTCATGGACACCTGTGAACTCTTGCAAGACTATCAGAGATCTCAAAATAAAACCTGGGTAAATCTGTCCCAGTCGCCTTCTGTGATGTGCCTGACAGTTCAACATTAGGCATACTACTTGACATCGAGGCAAGATTTGGTGCTGCCTCAACTGGATGCATGCAATCTTTCCATAAATTGGTCTCAGCACAGAAATTTTCCAAACTCTCAATCTTGTGGTTTGGTTTCAACTCAATAGATAAACAACCAATTATAGTCTTGTTGATGTTGTGTCACATGTGAACTACTGGATCCAGATAAATATTAACTGTTGCCCTGCTGTAGATAACATCTTCAAAGACACAATACTGGGTTTCAATGAACATTAAAATATCAGGAAGTTATGGCATTACGATAAGTGTTGATAAAGTTGATATTATAACAACATACGAGCTTAAAAAACTTGTTCACATTCAAAATGCTCAGTTGATAAGAGATAATGGTATAGGTTGTATTAAATTTAGAATTAAAGAAATCTAGACACATCAAACATTGAAGGCACAACATATTAGGGTGGCAATGATTCATCCAGAACGCGTTTCGATTGTTGATCTTGAACCCTCGATTCAATCTTCTTTGATTCAATTCTTCAAACAAGTGAAAACATCCGATTTCATTTTACTATCAGAGTCTTTCTTAGCGTGAAATCCATGGTCAACTTAGCGATGTCTACTAACAACAGTTCTCATTGGATAACCAGCCTGATGTCAACCAATCACATTTCGCCTTATTTCAGCACTTGAAACTGCTTAAGTTGGAGTCAAAATTATGTTCTGACTGTATGGAAATAAAATCAATAGGTATTCAAATATCGAATCAAAATAGTGATAATTGTTATCAAAAATCGAAACTAAGGTGTCAGATTTGATTTTCAATGAATCGACCTGAATCATTGCAGCCCTGCAACATATAGTGTTAAACATACATTCAGTGTGATGTCAGTTCTCTCAAAGCCTGAAGCAGCTGCTGTATCATGCTCTGTGATTCTCTTCTCCAGTTCGCAATATGCCTGGTTGAGCTGGACAGAGAGAACAAATTCAAATATACAATGAAAATTGCATGGCCTAGGATTGGTTGGTTGGTTTGTTGTTTAATGCCGCACCCAACAATATTTCAGCTATATGGCGGCAGTCTGTGAATAATAAAATATGAACCAGACAATCCACTGATCAACATCATGAGCATCAATCTATGCAATTTGAATACGATGACATGTGTCAACCAAGTCAGCGAGCCTGACCACCCGATCCCGTTAGTCGCCTCTTATGACGAGCATGGTTTGCTGAAGACCAATTCTAGCATGGATCTTCATAGGTTTCATGGCCGAAGAAGAATACATGGCTGACTCACCAAACTCATTTGACTGCTAGATAATTTTAGTTTTAGTTTTAGTTTGGTTAAACATTATCTTGACATTGAAATAGCTAATAACTTTGTATTTTGATTGTTAAAATTAGTTACAGCAAAAATGATAGAAGCTGACATTGTTATTCTGATCAGTCAAATATACTGAGCTGCAAAAGAATTGGCACACCAATAGAGATTTCTCAACCACACACCTCAGTTCGCTCTAATTAACAATCAAACTCAAGGATTCAGCTCAAACTTGACAATTATGTTTAAAGCATTTTCGGGAATCACATTTAGAGTTCACAGAAACAAAATCACCAAAAATCGTACCACAAAGATACCTCAATGTCAGTATCGTGTGTGGCCTCCATGGGCATCAGTGAAGACATTGTCTCGTCTGTACATGGAATGAATTAGCCGGTTGATGAAGGCCATAGGCACTTGGGTCCATACTCCAGAAATGCCTGATCAAGTCCAGCCACAGGTGCCGGCCGTGGTTGGTGGTCATTCAGTCTTCTTTGAATCTTATCCCAAAAGTGTTCTATTGGACTTAAATCCAGACCTAGTGCAGGTCATTGTAGGATTTGGATGCCATGTTGTCTTAGGAAGTCCAATACATCTCTAGCAATGTGGGCATGAGGGTTGTCTTGCTGGAAGATGTGACTTCTGTGACGTCCAAAATGTGGTACAACATGGGATCTTATGACTTGGTCAATATAGCGAGCAGCTGTCACGCCATTTCCTCGCCCTAGACTGGGGTTCTGGAACACCACAGGGCCAACTCTCTGGTTCAGGCCCATTGCACCCAACACCATGATGCTTGGACCACCCCACGAGTCTCTTTCAACAATGCACTCATTGGAAAATCGTTCCTCACACATTTGCCATACTCTCACTCTGCCACTGGCTGTCGAAACACAGTATCAGCTTTCATCAGAAAAAAGCACACGTCTCAAATTTCGATGCTTAGTTGCCCATTGCAGTTGGTTTGAGCAGTGACGAGCAGTGAGGACAGGACCACGATATGGTCTGTGACAGCAGAGGTTTCTTCCCTGCAATTGTTGACGCATTGTATCAGCACTAATGAGTCTGTTGTGAGTCCAAATGGTCTGGCATGCTGTTTCCGTTACTCTGGTGACGCGATCCTGCAGATGGTTGCGCACAATCTGTTGGTCTTGACGTTGTGATGTTACTGCAGGTTGTCCAGTGCATGGACGGTCTTGGATGCTGTTAGTGGCCTGATACTGCACCTGCAATCAGTAGGTTCCTTACATGTTCCTAACATGAACATTAAAATGATTGGCTACCCTCCATGCAGTCTGGCCAACTTGCAATCGTCCCAAGGCTTGGTTCATCTGATCTCTCGTAAGTCTTGGCATGGTGATTGTGTCAAAACAAGTATGATTTCAGGCACATTTGGGACTTGCTTTCATTGGTAGGGTTGTCACGATATGCACATTCATTTTCATTTTCACGAATGTCATACAGAACCTTTTAACACATCTGCCTTTTAAGTGCATTTCGATGATATACTTTTTCATCAGAAAACACACAAATGTTGGTAATAACTGTCAATTTGGATTGAAAAACATGTTAGCAAAATAGTAGAATCATAATAAAAACACTACCTTGTAAGAGCAAATTATTTGCATTTGAATTTGAAAGGTGACGTTTCTTTTGCAGTTCAGTATATATATTTAACATGAGACTAGTGGTTGACCAATCAGCACTATATATTCAAGCACATTCAGTGGATCAACGCTTTAAGACAACCTCAAAAGAGAGCCGTTCACTGTTTCTCAACAGTATTTGTATGTCACCACTGTTTTGTTTATGATAAGTGAGTCGTTTATGAGCTTAGAGTGAATGAGTTCAGTTTTACGCCGCTTTTAAAAATATTCCAGCTATATCATGGCAGGGGAATCGAACCCGAGTCTGCGGCGTGACGAGCGTTGCGACTGCTTTAACCACTAGGCTACCCCACCGCCCCTTATGAGCTTAGATTTCATAATAACAATAAAAAGTCACAACCACATGTGAAATCTACAAGAACAAACTTAATGCCTTTATTTCAAATGAAGCTAAACCTTTGAAACATATAATCATTACATATTCCCTTATGCAGAAGCATCATTTGACTAGATTTGCATACATTTTCAAGCATGCATTCAGGCATTGAAGAGTTTAAAAAGTGATGAAAGAAAGACATTTCCTTACACAGGGAAATATATATATATGTAAATATGTAAATTACATTTTTTGTTATGCCTTAGAAAACTAAGGACAATTTTGGATATCAAGGATAATATTTGAATACTAGTATTTTGATATGTGATCATTTTATCAGTACTAAAACAAGACGTTTCTCACAGATGTTTTCAATACCTTATTCCCACATTTGCTTAAAGGAGATATATTGAATCACAACTTTTTAAAATACTTCATAAAGATCAAACAAAGTATACATTCACACACTCAAAAAAGACATATGTGCTTTCATTGTATTCTAAAGAGTAACAAACAACTTCCCAAATACGATAGCCAGTGCATAATGTAATCCCACCTTCGGGCAAAGTTGGGCTGTGACTTCATAGATGCAAGACGCCGGCCATTTTCCTTTCTTTACAGTTACGACTGCACCATTTCACAGATGTCTCCAGATAAATCCTAGCCTAAGGTATTTAGGACTCAGCTGTTAGTCACACCTTCCAGTAAGACAAAAGCTAGGTCTACACTGTTGAATAATTGCTTGAATTTAGTTATATGATATTATGGGCGTGGTGGGCGAGCTGGCTAAGGCGCCAGGCTAGTGATCCAGCGAGGTTGAGGTGCCGGGATCGAGCCCACCTGTGCCCGGGTGTAAAAACCTTAGAGTCAACTTTGTGTGCAGACTCTTTCAGTGTTGTCACAACCCCTAGTGTACAGTATACAACCCTGTGCACTTAAAAGAACCCATGAATCCGTTGGTATATGACCAGATGGTGGCCACATCAATACAGCAACGTGCAGTAAACTTGGACAAAGTACTGCGACTATGTGTCCCAGTCCACCCAACTGTGAATGGGTACCTCGTTAGGATGAGAAAGCTACAATAACTCGGTGCACCTAGTTGCAGCAAGAGTTGTATACTCCATTCTTGTTAATAAAATTATGATTAGCTTTTTGTGACTTCGGACTCTTTGCTAAGTAAAATTCCCCCAAAGCAGACCAGCACGCCAGTTAAGAAAGGGGTTTCACCGGAACCATCACTGGGACCCCAGACCCTTATCATAACAGAAGGAATGAAAGAAGAAGTGATGCAGCCACAGCACGTGGACAGGACTATCAACAAACAACATGTGACAACAGGCGAGCCAATCATCCACCAAGGAGCAGTGAGTAGGAACAAGGAAGAGAGCACATGACTGGAAGAGGCAAGGCTAGTTATTCAAATTAGTACAAGTGTGGGCTTTGGAACTGCAATGGTTGCATGGGCTTGTGAAATTAATTCAGATGATCATCTGGTGAGATCTACTTGTGGTTCTCATTTAGATTGTGACATTATATGTGCAGTTGAAACTCATCTGAAATTAAATCAATCTATAATTGCAGAAGACTATTCGTGGTTTGGACACAATAGAAACTATCTGCACCGGCAAGCCAATAGAGGCTCTGGAGGCGTGGACTTCTAATAAAAAAATGACTTCTTAGTTACATATACTGCTCACAAAAAGTAGGGGATATTGAAAAGATGAGACAAATAAAAGCAAACGTATGTTTAATTGTCATTGGGAAACAATGTTCATGTGGAAATATGGATGTCTAGCATCAGTTACATACATACATACATACATACATACTAACATTTGTATAGCGCCGATATCCAGCTCAGCTCAGCTGCTCAAAGGTGCTTTGTTTTTCCCTCGTTCACTTGATGTCAATCTCAACGGCACATCGTATTGTCAATCTCAACTCCCTGGGGAGCATACAACTCTTGCAGCCATTTCAACAAATTGATTTTGATAACAATGCAGAAGGAACAATTACATGTATTTTTAGTAATTATTAGTAAACTTGCCTCTGGATTATGGTTGCCTTATTCCTGTGGATTCCACAGACACATACAGAATGGAAATGAAATATTTTAACTAAGTCATAGCTATCCCTAGTGGTATGCTTAAAGGTCACATGCAACCAAAAAATCAAACATAATTAAAACACAATTATCACTTATTCATGTCATATAATATACATTGCTGGTTATAAAAAAAACATAAAAACAAATTTATAAGCGTACAATCACAAATCAAAAGTGCAATATTTTGTACTCGGGTTTACTTCCCAAGAAACGAAGCAGCTGGGATACCGAACCCAGTCAGAGCGGGTGGGTGTGCACTCAAGTGTAACGGCGTGTGTGTATATATAGAGATGTTGGGTTTTGTAAATACATGCTCATTTTTTGTGTATAACATTTTGCAATCAACAGACATCATAACATGTCATGTGTACAAGTATCACACCTGCCTGTCTGTGTAATTACATAATGTGACAGAGACCGAACTCGGGCCATAAATCAATGCATTTTGTTTATGGTGTATAGCCTGATTGGTGTTAAGTTCAAATTGCATGTGGTCAGTGATCGCAGTTGTGTATTGAATATTGTCATTAGCAGACAGGCAGGCAGGCAGA